TTCTGAGTGACCCACCCAAATACAAGGACAAAGAAGCAGGTAGAGTAACAGAGTAATAGAGAGAACGTTTGGGAAAGATCTGCCAGGCAAACACTAGCCCAGAGAGCTGGTAAGTATCAGGCGAAACAGACTTCAAGGCATAAAACATAAGGGCAGAAAGAAGTTCACTACACATGGTTGAAAAGTCAAAACACACTGAAGATACTACAATTCTAAAATTTACTTATTTATTTATGTATTAAAAGCTTTTTTTTTTTAATTTAATTTTTTAAGTAATCTCCATACCCAACGTGGGCTCAAACTCACGCCCCCAAGAGTCACCTGCTCTACCCACTGAGCCAGTGGGCAGCCCTAAAGTTAATTTTTTCATAAAGTAACTTTACAATGGAAGAAAAAAATGAGAGAAAATGACAGCTCTTCCACTGCCATCATCAGGATGGTTAACTCGGGGATCACTGACCATGGCAATAAATGGCTTTGAGTCCCCCATACGTACTGACCCTGTTAATCCTCCTGTCAATCCTGTTCTGTGTTCCCTTTTGGCAAACAGGAAAAGTAAAGCACAGAGAAGTAACAGATCTCTCTCAAAAAATGATACAACACGTGGCAGAAAATAACAACAACAGAACTTCATGATGGGAAGATTTGCGTGACATCATCGGCAAGTTGGATCTAATGAAAATATATAGAGATGGGTAATACATGTTCTTTTCAACTACTTCCAGAATGCCTATAAAAGCAGACCATGTCCTGGGCCATAAAACAAGTCTCAACAAATACCCAAGAGTCAAACTCAGACTTCCTAGAATGATGATGCAATGAAATTACAGAAATCCATACTGAAAAGATAAGTTTACATGTTCATATAATTGAAAATTTTTATTTGTTTTAAAGATTATATATAGGGGCACCTGGGTGGCTCAGTGGGTTAAGCCTCTGCTTTCGGCTCAGGTCATGATCTCAGGGTCCTGGGATCGAGCCCCGTATCCTGCTCTCTGATCAGCAAGGAACCTGCTTTCCCCCTCTCTTTGCCTGACTTTCTGCCTGCTTGTGATCTCTCTCTCTGTCAAGTAAATAAATAAAATCTTAAAAAAAAAAATAAAGATTATATATATTTATTTAAGAGAGAGTGAGAGAGAGAGACCTGAGTGGGGTACGAGGGGTAGAAGGAGAAGCTGAGCAGGGAAGCCGACATGGGGCTCAATCTTAGGACCCTGGGATCATGACCCGAGCCCAAGGCAGACACTTAACTGACTGAGCTACCCCAGGCACCCACAATTGGAAATTTTTAAACAGGCTTCCAAATAAATCACAGGAGAGATTCAACAGGAAATGAAAAGTATCTAAAAATAAACAATAGTAGTATTCCATACCAAAATATGTGGGTTGCAGATAAAATTGTAAGTGGGAAATGTGTTACTTTTTTTTTTTAAAGTAGATTCAACATACGGCTTGAACTCAACGACCCTGAGATCAAGACCTGAGCTGAGATCAATCGTCAGACATTTAACCCACAGAGCCACTGAGGCGCCCTGAGAAATGTGTCACTATTTAAATGCTCACATTAGAAAAGATGAAAAATGGAAATGAGGTAGGCAAGAAGAAAGAAATCTCTGAAAAGGCAAGAGAATTATTTCCAAAGAGGAAGGCAAAGAATAAAAAGAAATGAAATGAAACAGAAAATAAAAAGACAAGGGAAGCTCCACAACAATAAATTTGGGGTTCTCGGAAAATGTGAATAAAAATGATTTCAGAAACCTGATCCTCCAAGAGAAAATGGTATAAATAAGCAATACTGGGAGTCAATAAAGGGGGGAACACAACCACATAGGCAGCAAACACTAAGGTGAGAGACTATTACAGGCAACTTTAAGGCAATAAATTTGAAAGCTTAGGATGAAGTGGGTTTATGTTTAGAAAAATAACAACCCACAGTATCGACGAAAGAGGAAGCAGACAGCGATGAAGGAAGCACTCAGTAGTTAGAGACTTTCCCACAGTGAATTGAATTAATTTCAATTCACATGTATTATTTCAGAGAAGAGAAAAAAAGCAACACTCTGAAACTACTAAGTAAAGCCAACTAGGAGGGACTAGAAACATTACAGATCAATTTCAGTGGGCACAGATTCAAGCCTTTTCAGTAACATAGTAACAAAACAGATTCAGATCAAGTATTTTAAAAACCCCATCACCCCCTAGCTGGATTTGTCACAGGAATGCTAATTTGGTTCAATATAAGAAAACTGATTCAGGTAATCTATCACATTAACGGATTAAAGGAAGCAGAAAAAGTATTGGCTGGTATTGAATATCAAGTTAAGTTGGAAAAAAACCTCCTGACAACAAAGGAAAAGAAGGGAATCCCTGAGCTTGATAAAGGGTTTATTAAAATCATGCACTAATTAATGGAGAAACATTTAAAGTACTGTCTTCATTATCGGAATCGAGATAAGAAGGGCCACAACGGGCTGCTTCTGTCCGCATAATGATGGTCACCGCCAACAGAGCAAGATTAAAAAAAAAAGCCGTAAGGATTGAAAAAGAAATTTGCTGGGATAAGACTATCTCTAAAAAAGAAAAAACAAACAAAAACCAAAGTGGAAATAAAAAAGAGAGTTTAGCAAGGCATCTGCCTCTAACGTGAATTCATAAAAGTCACGTGTTCTTTTTTTTTTTAAGATTTTATTTATTTATTTGACAGACAGAGATCACAAGTAGACAGAGAGGCGGCGGGTGGGGTGGGGGGGGAGCAGGCTCCCCGCTGAGCAGAGAGCGCCACGTGGGGCTTGATCCCAGGACCCTGGGATCATTACAGGAGCCAAAGGCAGAGGCTTTAACCCACTGAGCCACCCAGGTGCCCCAAAGTCACGTGTTCTATACTCCATGTGAATTAAGTAAAAAACATAATAGTGGATGAAAAAAAATCAAGTCCGAAGAAAATAAATGAAAGTATGGTTTTGGTTATATAATGGTGGAAAAGTGACAAAATTATAAATATACTCCTTGGAAATACATACACCTGTGGTAAAGCTGGGACATAAAGCAAGGAGGCGATTAACACCAAATTAAGGAAAAAACACCCCTGTAGGGAGGGGACCAGGAGCAGGAAGTCAGGGACAGACTTCCAAGGCATGAGTAAGATTTTTCTTCTTAAGCTATAGCTTGTAGATTATAGTATTCTTTTGGTTCCTCTTCTTTACACTGTACTTACATAATATACATTATTCTGAAAGGTGAACTACCTTTTATTTTTTTTATTTTATTTATTTTTTTTTAAAGATTTTATTTATTTATTTGAGAGAGAGACAGTGAGAGAGAGCATGAGCGAGAAGGTCAGAGGGAGAAGCAGACTCCCCATGGAGCTGGGAGCCCGATGCGGGACTCGATCCCGGAACTCCGGGATCATGACCTGAGCTGAAGGCAGTCGTCCAACCAACTGAGCCACCCAGGCGTCCTGAACTACCTTTTATTAACAATAGTTGCATGTTTTATTCTTTTTTTCCCCTTCAGCTGTTTGCAGTTTCAGGTATTTCTGCAATCAGCATGGGCAGCTTTTATATTAAGGCAAGGTCATAAAAGTAGGGGCGCCTGGGTGGCTCAGTAGGTTAAGTGTCTGCCTTTGGCTCAGGTCATGATCCCAGGGTCCTGGGTCTTAGCTCCGTATCAGACTCTGCTCGGAGGGAAGCCTGCTTCTCCCTCTCCCTCTGCCACTCCCCCTGCTTGTGCTCCCTCACTCTCTTGTTCTGTCAAATAAATAAAATCTTTAAAAAAAGAAAAAAAAAAGTCATAAAAGTAATCTTTAAAAAAAATCTTGAATAAAAATCACTCTAATTTTATATTTAGGTAGTAAAATAGTTTATAAAGAATGCATACCTTTACTCCATTTAGCCCCAAATGATTTTTTTTTCCCCAAATGATTTTTTTGATAAAGTCTGGATCAGTCTATTTTATCTGAGTCACATTTTCAATCCTTCGGGGAGTTGGCTCTTTCTTAGGAATTTATGACAAATGGATGGTGATTTATGGTCACTTTACCAGCACATTAATATGTTTCTCAGGAAAGTATCCCCACTCCTGCTCAGAGACGTCGGTGTGTACTTGAATATATTAGGTCATTATCGAGGAAGCCATGCTAACATGTACTGAGGCTTTAAGCAAGGAATCTGGCAGACTTGGACAAATAACTAAATAATCCACACTATTTTCCAACTAAACTCATCTCCCACGAATCTGGCAAGAGTGAAAGAAATCTATGAAAACGCTGTGCTTCTTTCTACGTAAAACATGACGCTGCAGAGGCCCAGACAGCCCCAGGCAGCCATGGGATGAATACAGTCATTTAATGGTCTAATGCTGTTTACATGGTATTGATGACTTTTAGAAAAAGAAAACTCAGCTTCTAGGGAAAAAACAGAGAGGGAACCACAAGCAGGTACAGTATGAACTTCATCACATTCCGAACTGTGACGCGAGTCCACTTAGAGAAGAGCCCTTGAGGGGACACCCGGGATGCAACCCGCTAAGAACCTGAATGAATCACCTAGAAAATCAGGCCAGCCTGTACGTCCCTTTATCTCCCCAACGGAAGCATTAGAAGCAGCAGAGCTCTTACAGATGGCGCAGAACCGGTCTGCTCTGGCTTTTAAAGGGGCTGACTTTTTCTTTGAAAAGCCATTAAGAGAAAGCCACAGCCTCCGGAAACCACGCTCCCCCCCCCCCCCCCCGCCAACCCCATCCCCCATGAGCCACTCCTAAATCTCCTGTCTTCATCCTGGGGACAACACAAGTCCACAACCTGCTCCAATCACAACATTGGAGACTCCCCAAAAGTCAGCTTCTGGTCCCCACAACCGGTGACACAAAATGCTACCAGCTGATCCCAGGCTGAGTGGCCTGTAGTGGGGACATCAGAAAGGAGAGCCTAGGGACTGGCGGCCTGGGAGGTGCGACGACAGACATCAGAGGAAGTGAAAGGCCAGAGCTCACTATCACCTTACCTTTTCCACATCTGCTTTGGTGACATTGATGTCAGCGTCCATCTTCTCGAAGTACTGCTGCGCCCTGTCCGCCTCTTTGCAGTCACGTTCAAAGCGTCTTTTACTCTGAAAGCAGAGGCAAGTGGTGACAGGAGAGCAGTTGGGAATGAAACCACAAGATTCCTATGAGAACATATCACTTTGTCTCAATCACCCAAAGAGCTTTCTCCTCTAAGCTGGTTGGTTATACGTCCTAAAGTCAAAGAGCTACTCTAAAATCTGCATTTATTTCAGCCCCAGCTCTCTAACCTTTGTGCTTTCCATAGGAGTTTTTAGATACACTTTGCTTCAGCTCATTGGGCTCCACACTTTAGTCTCAATCATGGTGTCTAGAGATAAAGGCAATTCAGAATGGAGAAGATCCCTAAAGGCATCCCTCTGGTGTTTTTGTTCTGCACTTACGGATCGATGCAAGCTCACATTCAAATCAGAAAGTCTACAGGCATTTCTCCAGCTGTCTGCTGTGCACTTACTGATTCGAGTTGTTTCCAGCAGATCTCTATGTGCTGTTGTGCCTTCCGCCCATCGTGAAAGTACTGGAAGCAGAAAACATGTGGGGATTAGCACCCCTTTGTCATACTCATACGTGAGAAAAAGATCCAACTGCCTAAAATCATATTTCATTTTTTAAAAGTGGTCTCCACGCCCAACGTGGGGCTTGAACTCAGGGCCCTGAGATCAAGAGTCATGTGCTCTACCGGCCGAGCCAGCCAGGCACCTCCTCCTCCCCAATCGTACCGAAATACTGACTATCTAGCACGTGCACGCCAAAGAAAGGAAAGGGTTAAAAAATAAAGAGGAAGTGAAAACGCAAACGGTCACAGAGTTCCCTTTAAAACTTCAGATATGATAATACTGAATTCTAAGACCTACATATAGCCCTTGGAAAAAGACAGCAATGTTTGTTAAGACATCTTCATTTTTAATTGCTTTGAGAAGGAACTCATGTACTTCACGATCCGTCCATTTAAGTTGTACAATTCATCGCTCTTTGCTGTAATCACAGAATTACGCAACCATGATCACTATCAATTTGAGAACACTTTCTTATCCTCCAAAAAGAGAGCCCATACCTCTGAGCCGTCATCCCCCCACCAGCCCTAGGCAACCACTACTCCACTTTCCGTCTTTATAAATTTGCCTGTTCTGGGTTATTTCCTGTGAATGGACTTATACAGTATGAGGTCCTTCTGTGACTGACGTGATGTTTCCATTAGGACGTAATGTCCACTTAGCAGGATGTCTTCAAGGTTCATCCGTGTTGTCACGTGTATCTGCACTTTCTCTCTCTTTACTGCCAAGTGACATAGTGACATTCCATTGTCTGGACATATGTAAACATTCTGTTTATACTTTCACAATCGATGAACACTAGGGTTTTCCCCGTTTAGGGCTGTCGTGAATGATGCTTGTTGCAAACATTTGTGTAAAACTTTTGTGTAGCTGGATGTTTCCATGACTTAGACCTTTTTAGATTTAAAAATAAATTCATTCCCCCCTGCTATGTGCAAAGGCCCTGAGGCAGGTAAGTGCATTGTGTTGACGAGTAAGGATCCTAGAGGGCTAGACCAGGGTGAGCCTCGAGAATATCAGGAGAGGGGGTCAGAGAAGAAAGGACCAGACTGCGTAGCAATTTATAGACTTGTGGCCTGAATGAGCTGGGAGCCATGGGTCATTCCAAGTATAGAAGTGCCCTGTTATGAAGGAAGGTTCTAGGTAGTAGCCTTTCTCCAACCCTGACCACAGAGTAGCCGTGCAGGTGGGGAGCAGGTCTGAGGGGAATCAGACACAGCTTTCGACACGTGAGCTTGACCTTCTAGAAGACCCCCAAGTGGAGAGCCTCCCAGGTTGCTGGATGGCTGCAGGAGAACCCAGAGAGCGGCCAATGCTGTAACGATCAGCATCACGGGCATCAAACGGGAGCTCAATGTCGAACTACAGCCTGGACGAGATCACCAAAGGAGACGGGACCCCAAGGAAAGACCAGCTAGAAACACATGGAAGCATGAAGAAAACAGTATCCTTTTTATCCGGGGCCCTAAAATCACCAGTGTTTCCTAAATCCTGTCCCAGCCTTCAACTGTGACATCACCAACTTTGTCAATGTGGTGGGAATTTCCCAGATCCGTTCTCCACCCTGTCCTGTGTCCCTAGAGGCTGACCTGCATGGACCACACGCAGGCTCCCTTGCCCTCGGGCTCTGTTCGATTTGCCACAGAGGTTCCCGCATAGCAGAGAGCAGGAATTTCTATCTGCAGCTTCCTCTGGCTATGATGCTCCAGGTTGGCTAGGTCCTCGACCTAAGGCCACAGCTCGGGTCAGGCACTCCTAGGAAATGCCTGCAATTTTCCCGTCCCCGTCAGATCGAGGGGCCACAGCAGCTCCCCACCCTGACTAGCCCCGGGGTCCTGCACGAGCACTATTGCTTCTCTTGAACCCTCTCCCCAGCAGGGTAAATGCTCCTTTTACTAGACAACCTTCCTTCAGTGACTGGGCGTCAATGTGCCGTCTGTGTTCCAATGGACAAGGTATAAACCTTGGGGGGTGGGGTGCGGGGGGGTCCATGGCTAGAAAGAAAGCAGAAAGCATGACAGGCGGAACAGGTCCCCTCCACGTAGCCTTGTACCTTTCCATCCTCCCCTAGTCAGAGCTTAGGGCCCGGCTGAGCCACAAAGGAGGGCCAGGGACCGGGGTGGGGGGGGGGACCAGGAAGGAAGAGACGAAATCAGATTTTGGTTTTTTAACAACAGCGTTCTTCTTGTCTCTCTCTCTCCTTTGAGGCCACGTTTCACTGTTGTTAAGTTCCTTTTTGTGGCAAGTTTTACCCATCCAGCAATATATATATATATATATATATTTTTGTCTCTATGAATCCAAGAGGAGCCCCCTGGGGGCTTCATTCCTCAAGTTTCATAACAGAGGTAGGGATGAAACTGAACGGAGATTGAGTCTCAGGCTAGAAATAAACAGGCAAGGCGGGGATCGAGGCAGTGGAAGTAAGAAGGAGGGCTGAGGGCAGAGCGAGGAAAATCCTGAACCTCGGAGGAAGTACAAAATGCAAGTGGGTTTTCTGAAAGCCAAACATACATCACTTTAACACGGAATGGAGGGCAGGAGGGAGGGAGGTCCTGGGGGGCAGGGAGTCAGGGGAAGAGAGAGGCAGACAGGGAGGCAGAGGAAAAGGCTTAGCCATGCCCTCTCGGCTCCTGGAGCCCTGCCCGGTCAGAAGCTACATTCTTGAATTGTCAAGAGGACCATCCCCCACTTCGCAAGCAGGATTACTGCGTTCTGCGATTTGCTGGAAAGATCTCCCTATCCCCCCGCCCAGTTTTACTTCAAGATTTAAAGACAGACATAAAGACATAAAAAAAACCCTTAGCACCAAACTCAGACCTGTGCTCTAGGTTTATGGTCTTGAAATGGGTGTTTTCACAAAACTCGAGGCCAGTCCTGGGCTGAGAGAGGAAACACACAAGAAGACGCAGAAAGTGACAGGCGCCGCCAAGAAAGGCTGAGTCGGTTTATCATCAAAGGAATCTTCTCTGAAGACAATAGATACTCCCCCTCCCCCCATGCCACACACACACACACACACACACACACACACACACACACACACACACACA